CTGTTCGTAACCCGAGGCGGAGTTCGTGAACCGAAGCAAAATTTTGCGGCTGGAGCTGGTCATCACCTGAAAAGTTCATGAACAGAAGTGTTCGTAACCCAAGGTTCCACTGTATTAGGTATGCTCCTGAGTTATTTCTAAAAAATAATAAAGATTACCACATGTGGATGACTCTACTCTAGAGTTCTTCTTTCAGAATTACCTGACCCTTTTTGCTAGGTTGTCCTGTGGGAAAGAGGTATTACTAACCTACTCTGAATAGCATGCCTGCACATTACTTAGCTTGTTGGTTTTTTTTACTTGTTCTTCAAATGTTCCTTATTCCTTGTGTCAATGGCAATCCTCTCTTCTCTTCTCACTGCTTTCCTGCCTAAACAGGGAAGAACGAAGTCCTGCCCAATTGGCCCAAAAAGGCTCAGACACTAATGAAGAGCAACAGGAAATAACCAAAGAAACATCTGGCAGGGGGAAAGTACCATTCTTTCAGCACAGACAGTAGAAAACAACTGGTAACAAAGTTTTGTGTATTACAGCTGTAAATGATACTGGCCTTTGCCAATGATCTGATCCTTGTGCAAAATCAGCTCCTTTTCTGGAATGAGGACATCCTTCACTTCTTCCAACAATTCTGGCCGAAAATTGTTAATGGAGTACGAAGGCACCCGCATGAAAGGCACAGCAGACCCATCACTGCTGGCTGTGTAGGAGACACTTCCAAGTCGCGCTCTAGAAGAGCCACTATTTGGGGTCCCTGCCAGGGAAATTTCATTAAGAGAAGGTGGAGAGGATATTAAAGTCAGACAGAGCTTTTACTTATACTGACCACTAGAAGGCAGTACACGACCAGTTTCATTCTATTTGGAATTCATCAGGTGTACATAGTCACTTGATCTTACTATGGGGCTCAAATCCCCTATTGGGAATCAGAACTTTAGTATATATGCCTGACGAGTTCCAAGTTGTTATACACTATGTAAAAAAAACAGAGAAATCCCCCTGCCCCCATGAGGGCATGACATAATATAACATTTGTACCTCTCTGAGAGCTTAAAAGTGGGCGTTAAATGAGGGCAGTGTGATAGATACCAGAAGGCCATCAGCATGTGTAGTTTTTATATTTATTTATTTATATTTCAAATTTGGACACCGCCCATCTCACGAGGAAGTGACTCTTGAGCAATGTATTTTTATTTATAGAAACATTTAGAAGGAACTATTCCATCTAGGGAAATGCCAGTCCTGGTAAAAAAAAATAAAATTAAATCAAAACAAAAAAACCTCCCAATGAAGCATGTCTGGGCATCAGCACATCAGACTGATGACTAACAAATTTTTCTGCCTCATTGGCTCCAAAATACTGGTTACAAGTCTTGTTATGCATCCTTACCAGAAGGACCCACGTAGCCAGTGTTAGAAGGAAGAAGAGGAATTCCGATTGTGCTCCTGTTGAAGCTAGAGAGTCTTTCTAAATTCTCAGTTCCTGCAAGAAAAAAACAAAAGGCCTATCCAGCAGCATTCCTCTCATCACTATCCTAGCCGTTGGTCCACTATCCACCCTTGCCTTATTCACCTTGTGAATCCAGTGATTAAACCACATTTGATACATGCCATTTTCTGATGAGGTGTCATAATTAAATGCAAGCTAGTACTGCTATTACTGTGAAGAATTTACACTGAATAAATGAACACCTCTCTTGACTATACTTTTCTGGCAGGAAAGTATAATGAGAAACTTGCAGTTACCTGTCTTCTTCTTGTGTTGAATATATCTCAAAGGCAGAAACACCAGAGAGGAAAGGAAGAGAATGCCTACAAGAGCTCCCAGTACAACAGCAACAGGAGAGACCAGGGAGACTGTAATCACAAATCCTACGTCTATGCAGTTTTCATTCACACAAATCTAAAAGAAAGAAAAGACATGTGATTATTAGCACTGAACAATAGCAGAACCTGGGGCTGCGAGAGTAGAAGGAAAGGAGGACATGGGAAATGAACAGTAGAAGTTTCCAACTTTGCAAAAGAGTTTTTAAACTTAGGCAGAAACCATACAACTTTGCTCATATTGTGATGGTCTTAAAAGATGAGGTTGGTGCTGGCAAATAATGGGAAGCTTACATATTGGAAGTAGGATATACAGTATTTTTGGGAAATAAGTGCAGTCAAAGAGTTCATTTGAGTGGACAAACTAGTGGTAAGGATTTTGGGAATGGTGAGAGGTAAAATAATTTCAAGTGTTAAAGATAAACACTTTATCTAGTGGACTTGTGAGAAAGCAAAAAAAAAAATAAAAATTGGGTGCAAATCCATACAATGATGCAAAAGATACTGTGGATTAATATTACGATGAAACCAGAATTATTCCTACTGGGTTTTATGGACAAAAAAATTAGAAAAGAAATATGGGAAATTAATACTGCATATGATAACTGAGGCAAGATGCAAAAAGTTGGAAAAGCAATGAAATACCTACAGCGGAAGATTGGATTATAAAATTAACTGAACTTGCAGAAATGGCAAAGCTGACCAGTTTGATCAGGGAAAAAACAATAAAGATTTTTTTGAAAGACCAGAATCCTTATATGGACTTTTTGTTGAAAGAAGAAAAAATTGAATTGATTTCAGGATTTGGGGATTAAAAAGGGACAAAGAGGTTGGGGGGGGGGAGATTAAGATGACACTTGATAGAAAGAAGGGCGGAAGGTATAATTGTGTGGGGTTTTTTTCTTTTTCTTATTTCTTTTCTTTTTCTCTATTTCTTATTTTCTATCTTTGTTTGTTATGTATATTTTTACTATACTGAATATATATATATTCAAAGAAATATATATATTTCTTTTATATATATAGAAATGAAGATAGTTTTGCACTGTTTCATCTAGAGCATGGAATGGGTGTTTTTTTCATTCTTAGGAAGTCATGCCTTGTCCTGCTTCCCAGCTCTTCAGGGTTCACCTCTCAAAAGTGAGGGTGCCACTGTGCCTTGCAACCATCCCCCATCCTTCCCAGATGATCTGAGGGGTGAGCTTGCAACTCCCCCAACAGTGGGGGTTAAGAAAGGACAAGAGCACTGGGGTGCAGTGCGTCTGGAGTGTTTTTCTGCACTACCCCACAGCCCACCTGGAACGGTGATCTACTCAGAGTTAACTCCCCAGCAAGGAAAGGACAATGGTAGGGTGGAATGACTATAATTATAAAGTTTGGCTGTAAAAAATGGTAGTTTGGGGGAGATACCCAACATCAAAAGAATGTCATTTGATAGACTGTGGCAATTATCTGAGAGCAGGAAACACTATGCTAGCAAAGATTAATCCAGAGGAAATCAAACTGGGTTGCCAGCTGGGCCATCTGGGATGTGGGTAATGAGGTGATGCAAGCATGAGCACTGACAGTTTTTCAGCATGTGGGGAAAACCAGAGCGCTGGAACTGATTGTGTAACTGAAGGCTTTAGAACCCTATGGAGATTTTCAGGGTATTGTCTCCTGACTTGCATCTGTCTAAACTCACACTGCTTGGGAATGTTTTGGATACAAAGTAAATAGAATACAGGAAAGGACTGTAAAGATCCTTGGTGAATCCAGGCTGGAAAAACACTTCCTTTGTGACAAACGAATCTAAGAATCAATGCCAAATGAAGTCAGGAACTTTTCCCAATATTCTGCCATCAAAATGTCCATTTGGCTTGTCTTTATTTGAACTTAACAGTCCTTCTTTAAATACTTGATTATTGATCTTAATAATCAAAATTAAGCCTGCCCTGAGCTCACAAGCTGTTAAAAAGATCAGACTATACAGTACTCACCAAATTCACCCTGACATGACTCTACATAACCTGGCTTTGACGCTATGTCACTTTTAGCAATTGGCATCTCTCCTTATTAAACAGAATGGCCTCTACACTTATAAGGAAGACAGAAATAGATGCAAGTGGGCAGGAAGGAAATTGGGTGGAAATTGTTGTTGTTCAGTCGTTAAGTCGTGTCCGACTCTTCGTGACCCCATGAACCATATTGCGCCAGGCCTTCCTTGTCTTCACTGCCTCCCTGGGTTTGCTCAATTTCATGCTCATTGCTTCAGTGATGCTATCTAACC